GTGTGCGGACCATTTTCGTTTATATAGTGCTCTGTGAACACAAATTAGTTATCATAAATGACGAAGAATTAGGTGTCTATTTACTTGTGACCACTCAATGTACTTTGTTTTTATGTGTACATTTTATCAGTTTGCAAAGAAAAGTTAATTATATAATTTATCTTTTAAATAAACTCAGTTAGTTGTTACCTATGTATAATATATTTAAAAAAATCCGTGATTTTACAGACTATTTGTATGAGGTCTTATCGACATTTGAGCATCTAAGGAAAATAAAGAAAAAAGGAATTTCCTCGTTTTTTTTCTATCACCATTTTCTGAGGTGGCGTGAGCGATGAACTGTTTGGCGGAGACGAAAGGTTGCTTTTATGGGATGGCGTTGCAGACGAGGTCTTACGAGAAGACGAATATTTACAATTTCGTTCGTGCACTGTCAAGCGATCGGGAAAAAAGGTTCGACCACAGCGTCCACATGGAACCAGTTGTTGTAGGTGGCTTTTCCAGGCGGCGTCTTCCATTTCACCTACGTTAGTAGCACCATTCTCTGAAATGTCCAATAAATCGAGAAACTGTGAAAACTTGCTTATTAAATCTGCTGTCAAAAATCGAATGATGTCATACTTCAGAAAATAAGTAAAAAAAATCACTTGAGCTACTTTACGGTTCCGATTTCTAAAAAAATCACTTGAGCTACTTTACAGTTCCGATTTTTAAAAAAATCACTTGAGCTATTTTACAGTTCCGATTTTTAAAAAAATCACTTGAGCTACTTTACAGTTCCGATTTAAAAAATAAATTAAAAAATTATGAATACGTAACACTAAACTGCGTCTAATTTCCAGTCTATGAAGTTTTGAAGAAACCTTTTTAAATGGTTGTCAAAAAGTTCCAGCAATTTAGCGTGAAGTATTTTTTCTTCAAAAAAAAAACAAACTCATATATAAAAAGAAACCGTACAAGCTTCCAATGCTAATATCTAAGGCTATAGTTTAGTTTTCACAGAAAAATCGAAGACCAGTTTTTAAATGTTACCTTTAAAATAAAAGCTTTTTCGTCTTTAAACTTTGTATTTTTCATTTCAGAGCCCATTATTATGGCGTGTTTTAAAGTTTAGTAGTGGTTCCAGAATGTATGAATATTCTCATATGTTTATCTTGCCTTTAATTTGAGGTTCGGGTTTTTCAGGCTCTGCACTTTGTTGTTCGGACGGAAGCTTGTCGTTCTGTAACTTCCATTTCCGGAAACATTGTGGTTCGTGCAAAACAATGGATTTGGTACCAAACTGTCGGCCACATATGTAACAAGTCACCAGGGGACATCTTCTTGGTGCTAGTTTTTTCACTGAAGACTTTTAAAAATAAATACTTATTGATAAAGGTTAAACTCTTACCAAATAACGATTTCAATGTAAATTATATTTGTTCGATTAAGAAGAACACTAACCATTACAGATGTATATTAATAGCAGGTTATAGTGAATGATTTCCTTGGACTAGTGACAAACCATAAGGTATTAATAATGATATAATCGAACATTCATTGATCAACCGAAATTTGTATCTATAGGTAAAGAAAAAAATGACTTTAATTTATTACAGATACTTACATAATTGCTGACATTATTAGAACATCGAATTGATTACAAATGTTTTTCACTGAATTTCTTAAAGGCTCCTCGGGCCTCGGCATGGCCAGATGGTTAGGGCGCTCGACTCGCAAGCTGAGTCACGGGTTCGAATCCCCGTCCCACTAAACATGTTTGCCCTTTCAGCCGTGGAGGCGTTATAATGTGACGGTCAATTCCACTATTAGTTGGTAAAAAAGTAGTCCAATAGTTGGC